AGCTTTTTTTTTTTTAAATCAACAAATACCCCAAATGTGTATTTTTTATGTTCTTTTGCTGTTGAGATTTATTCAGTAATTTTCATTAGAGCCAATCCTGTAGAACGATTTGGAAGAAACCCATATTGATTGTCCGTTAGTCATTTATTTTAATCAATGATCCAACTTTATAGCAAACGTTTTTTCTAGTAATTTAGAAAATTTAGATAGTAGGGATATTGGTCTGTAGTTATTAATGCTATGCTTGTCACCACTTTTAAAACAATGGAATTTTAGTTCTGTCTGGGAAAATACCTGATTAAAATGAAAGATTTATTATTATTTCCATATCAATTCACGTCTTTTTTTTCAGTTTATGTACTGCTGTTAATATTTCACTTTCAGTAACTTCAGACAAGAACATAGATTGTGTCACTTTATTTTCCGATTTGCTGATACCTGAGTCTTTAATTTAGTTTGCTTAAGTTGGTCCAATGTTTACCAAAAGAATCATTTTATTCATTAACCATAGCCGCCTTGTTTTGAATGACATTGCTGTCCAAATCTTTTGATCCTGACTTTTTTCCACTTACATTGTTCAGAGCAAAGGAAGGTTTCTCACCCATCATCTGTACTTCTTAGCAAGTTTTCCCGACGTTCAGAGTTTTCCATGTAGCTTTGATGTTGTTTTTACTTTTTAACAAAGCATCATCATAGTATTGTTTTTCTGCTTGTCCCAAAACATTTGTTAATCTGTTTTTGCAGACTTTGTAGCATTTTTTCTGAAGCTTCAGATCTCAATTCCAAAAAAGTTATATAATTTATTTTTCTTTTTTCAAGCATTCTTTAATTTTATTGTTATCCAACTATTAGTTAGTAACTATTTCAACGCTGCAATCATCACACTTTTTCTGTCACAAACTGACCCGGCCCCCATCGAAGAAGGGAAAAGTTATGTGGCCCTCACAGGAAAAAGTTTGGGGACCCCTGATTTAGGCTTTTTTTTGTGCTTCTCTTCTTATAACGTGGTCCGTAACAGATACACATGTCAAAAAACACACACACAAATCTTTTTTTTTACACACACAAAGTTGGATACGCAAGCACAGATTCTTTTTCACGCACACACAAATCTGGTTAGGCACAAACACAAATTTGGTTACGCACGCACAAACATTATTGAAACAATAATAGCTCCATACGATAATAAATGTTTGATGTTGAACTCAAAATAAATAAACACTCTAAAATAAACACGGCTACACATGTGCAACAGTTTCAACATTCATGGTAACCTTCGTGGATACCATGGTTACCCTTGGTTTGTGGAAAAAAACGTTAAGACTGACGTTTGTATATTAGTTCACAAATTGTTGCTATGAAGGTACAGGTGCCTGATAGCATTTCCATCAACAAAATAAACATATTCATTGTGAGATGTTGACATCCCACGGTGTTATTGTGGTTCGATGGGGAATTGTTGAAAGCTCCGCTACTGTAAGAGGTTTTACAGAATGCTTCCATTTCAGAGAAATATTTCAAGTAAGGAAAGAACGTCTGTAAGCAGTGTCAGCACCTAAACTGGAAATGAGAGACAGCATCAGGAAGTAAATAAATGTAGGAAGTTCATTTTGTCTTATGTTTAAGGCAAGTTCTTAAGTTCTTCTAATAAGACAATAAAGTAAAAAAAGGTAGTACTGCCTTTTTTGGTCCCAGTCCAGCCCTGGAAATGTGCTCTTTTGCAATGTACTGAAATACAAACAATCTGGCAAGACTAACAACAAAATATTCAAACTATTTTACATATCCAGTTAAAATAAAAAAGAATCAACAAATATTTGTAGATCTAACATTATTGGCAAAAAGAGTAGTAAACCTTTCAGGGAGAGATATTAGAAGACTGACTGTGGGTCGATGGCTATCACAGGTATCAACAACACATTCTCTGGAAAAAATGACTTATATAAGAAAGAATCAGCAACACTCATTTAATCAGATCTGGAACCCTTTCAGTGCCTATGTAGTACAGACAGCCGGTCATACAAGTATTTGGGAACCATCGTAGACAACCATCTGAGGTCTGATGATAACTCTTCCAAGATCTGCAAAAAAAGGGCCACAACGACTGTATTTCCTGTGCAGACTACATTTTTTATTATGTGGATAAGTCTCTGATCATAGGGTTCTATCCTTTTGTTTATTATCCTTTTACTGAACCTGTCCGTCCAAAACAGAATTTGTGTCGGAAATTGTGTGAGGCCAATCGGATGATTGTCCAACAACAAATGTATCTTGACACAAATATAAGAAAGACAGGTCTTAAACAGAGTACAGTCTGTCTTGTCCATCTGCGACTAGCTCTTGAGGTTGGAGTTTGAACTCCTCTGGGAGAAAATATGTGCTTCGAAAGGCTCAAATAAATAGTTTTAAATGTTCATTTGTGGTTTGTGCAGTTAATCTGCTGAACATACACTTTTAAAGGTTTCCACATGTTTTCGTTTGATTCAGTTGTGCCACTGATATGTGCCGTACTCACTGTAAATATTGTCCTGTATTGTCAGAGAATTTATGTTTCTGCTCCACCACATGCAATTTCCCCCTTGAGGACAATAACTTGAGTTGAGTTGAGTTCTAGATTTGGGTGAGGGTTATAGGTGAGGGTTAGAGATAACACGTGTATTGTCCTAGACCAGGGGTCGGCAACCTGCGGCTCTTTAGTGCCAAAAATTTCTGAAAATGGAGTGGGAGGGGTATATTTATATTTTTTTTTTTCAATGCGGTTTCTGTAGGAGGAACAACATTCTTAAAATTTTCCAATGAAGAAAAATGTGCATAAGAAATATTCAATTTCAACATTTCTGTCAACTGAGATTTGCGTCATATCCTGCGGGCGGTTGCTGTTGTAAACAAACCGGCATGTGCCACATGAGTCCCAAAGCTAAAAAGAGGAGGAGTTGATAAGAACCGAGAATTCAAGGAAGAATGGACTGGAACATTTGCTTTCATTGTCAATGAGGAAGGACTGCTGTGAGAATATATTGAAGAACAAAAAGAGTCATGTGGAAATTTGGCTGCTGACCCCAGTTTGGAGAGAAACAGTGGGATCGCAGTTATTCTGGAGCAGATTCATCTCCAAACTTCTACTGAATTTTGTTGCAACACGAGGAACAATGAAGTGCGAAACAGCGTTCGGGAAATTCAGCTCCAGCCAACTCCAGCTGTGACGACGTGTGACGTGATCGATATGAACAGACAGTGCTGTGATGCAGGTGTGTGAACTCTGAGTCAAAAACGGATTTATTTACTGTATTTCTACAATTGCATGAATGCAACAAAAGGAAAGTTAGACTTAAAGCATATATGGTATAGCAGAGTAGTCACATGGTGCGTCACTCTCTTTTACTACAGTGAAAATACATATAATAATAATGAATGCATATTATGTATTTGTAGCCTACACTTACTCATTTTGATAGTAGGCTAATACAGCTTACAGCCTGTGCTGCTTTCATATAAGCCTTATACAAGGAAGTAAAGTTTTTGCGGCTCCAGACAGATTTTTTTTTTGTATCTTTGGTCAAATATGGCTCTTTGAACTTTTTGAGTTGCCGACCCCTGTCCTAGACCCACATGTGCATAACATAAGAATGTAGTGTCATCCGCAAACAATAAAAAATTCATGACTTTGGATACATTACAAATGTCGTTGATATACAGTAAAAACAATGTTGGCCCAAGAATAGACCCTTGAGGGACCCCACACGTGATGTTACTGAGTGAAGATTTGTGTTTCTCCATCTGTACAAACTGCTGCCTGTCTCCCAAGTAACTCTCCAACCACCTCTGTGGCATTCCTCTGATGCCATAGTTGCCCAATTTATCTAAAAGAATATGGTGATCAATTGTATCAAATGCCTTTTTTAAATCAATAAAAATTCCAATAATAAAGTTGTTTTTTTCTATACAATTGGTAATGTCTTCCACCATTTCTATTAGAGCTTGTGATGTAGATCTACCTTGTCTAAAACTATATTGACTGTTTGATAATAAATGTCTTGAATTAAATATTTTTTCTAGAATTTTTGAAAGCTGGGGTAGAAGGGAGACTGGGCGGTAGTTCGTGAAGCAGTGTTTATCACCTGACTTGAATAGAGGAATTACCTTAGCTATTTTCATTTGGGTGGGAAATTGTCCGTATTGAAATGACAGGTTGCAGATACGTGTTAGTGGTTTGACAATTGCTTCCGCAACAGCTCTTATTGTTTTCATGTCTATATCATTAAAATCCTTAGAACTTTTGTTGCTACATTGTTTTATGGTCACCAAGACTTCATTTTCATCAGTGGGAGTCAAAAACATAGAATTTGGATTCCTCTCAAGCGAAGTATGCACCGTATCACTGCCCGTTGGAATGTCCGCTGCTAGCTCGGGTCCAAGTTACCCCCTTATGTCCTGTATTATGTCCTTTTGATTTTTGTCTACTTATCATTTACATTCCTGTTATTAAATACTTGCTTTTCCATTTAACATCTTGGTTTTTTGTTACCTCCCTTACCCTAGCCGAGCTGGGTCATAACATGCTGCAGTACAGTGTTCATGGTTTTACACGGGTCCAGACCAGAGCGGAGAGGATTCATGGTTCGAACTAAGTGGATCAGTTGAAAGTCCACTGGAGGAATGGAAATTTTTTGAAAAATGCTAATGAAGCATTTACCATTTTACTTTGGACAAGAGCAGAGAAACTGGTCCCAACCAATCGGCTACTCCACCTTGTGACCTGTCCTGCTCCACCCAGTGGCTACTCCACCGCTGCTACAGTGACCCGTCCTGCTCCACCCAGCGGCTACTCCATCTTTGCTGCTGTGACCTGAAGGTCTGTGGCTGATGAATACTATTATTAGCTTTTCAGAATGACCAATTTTATTTTTGCTGCTACTGGACACCTGAATTTCTCCTACGGGGATCAATAAAGTATCTATCTATCTATCTCTGCATAGGTGTGTGTCTCAGGGGCCACTCACCACAGGGGTCTTTTCTCTGGATAGCTGCTGCAGTAGGGGGAAGGGGTTCCACTGTATGGGCTCCACTGGCCAACTGCACACAGACAGATCACTGTTCTTCCCTGAGTCCATGACACCATCGGCGAGGCTCAGGTCGCTGCCCCGCCAGGCGCACTGCGAGCTGCATCAAAGACACCAACAATCCCAACTGTCAGTGCTTTCAAAGAAACAGAAGTCACACACTGGGAATTAAATAAAACAGTCAAAAAGAGATACCCTTTTTAAATACAATTCTAAATTAATGCCACAAGCAGCAGGTAATTCTAACTTTTTTGCGATGATTGTATAACTTCAATCCGTCCAATGCAGAAATTACATGGTAGAACTGAATGGAATTCCACAACACAAAACCTTGTGCCCTATTACTTTCCGACAGGAGAGCTCATATTGGGGCGATTGATTTTAGTGTCATTGCAATCAGGCCATGCAGACTAAACCTGCAGGCTAAATGCAGCAGATTAAACCTGCAAGCTAAATGCAGCAGGCTAAACCAGCAGGCTAAACCAGCAGGCTAACCGCAGTAAGGGAGCATTAATGCAAGGCTCATCCAGAGGTCAGATCTGCACTAATTCTTGTGCCAAAAGATCAGGCAATTGAAGACGTCCAGTTTCTACTGTTGTGAAGTGTACAGACAGAGCACATGGGACTGAGAACAGCTGCAGAATGATGTTCATGTGACATTTGCGGACATTGCTGCTGCTTTGCTGAAGACACCGGGGTGGAGGCGTGTCACACAGACTTTTCAAACTATGGACTTTCTATTTTTGTGTTTTTGTTTTTGTTGTGTGTGTGTTGTGTTGATAAAAAAAAAAAAAAACACACACATTAGGATACATTTAGATAATACATTTCTAATTAAATACAGGTTTTACAATTTTAATTAAATTAATAATTGGGGTAATTACTTATACTTATGTCTTATACAAGTTTATTAGGGACATAAGTAAAGAATCTGTGATTGTCAAATGCTTTCTTATTTTCTGCTGATGGCCAAAGAATAAATAAATACAAATATATAATCTTTTAGGCAAGGCAAAAAAAAGTTGGGGTTAGGGTCTAGCTTTAAAATAAGCTTTAAAATGATGCATCACACAAGCATGTAATGTGTAAGATGCATTTTCAAACGTGTAACAATTTTTTTTATGCACAAGCCAATTGAGGTGGCTGTTGAGAGGTGACATTCTTGAGTGACCAGAGGTATGACATTACCATTAGGCGATTACCTAGACATTCAGAGAGAGAGAGACCTGAGAGAGAGAAGCCAAAGAGGGAGACCACAAAGAGACCAGAGAGACCACAGAGTAGAACCCTGCACTTGAGCCCTGGGCCCGACAGCCTGATAGCCTAAGGACCAGGCTTCGGGTCCAATCACCGTTTAATTACCTCGGACACGGGCCGGCCTAGCGCACTTTTATTTATTCATTTTCAGAGCGGCAGATAACATTTACGAACGCACCCACTGAATATAGTGTTCTATTACACCGTTGTATTTGTTGTTCTGTATAGTATTGTCATTGACGACACATAGCGTTACCTTCAATTGTGTTCATACAGCATGCAGCTGTGCATCATACAGCTGTGTATCATACAGGTGTGCATCATACAGGTGTGCATCATACAGCTGTGTATCATACAGGTGTGCATCATACAGGTGTGCATCATACAGCTGTGTATCATACAGGTGCGCATCATACAGGTGTGCATCATACAGCTGTGTATCATACAGCTGTGCATCATACAGCTGTGTATCATACAGCTGTGGCCGTTCACTCCGTACACAGAACTCATTGCAACACATCACTACCATGTGTGACTCCGCCCTCTAGCCGGGCCTGTGTTCATATCAGTGTGCGGCACTATATACTACGCTAAAAAACATTGTTATGGGAGGTAAAAAATTATAATAATAATAGTTGGGCTTGATACAGGTTTGGGCCTGGCCTGAGAATTCAGAAACCATGCCGGGCCGGGCACCACCCCCTCGGGCCAGGGCCGGGCTCGAGGCCAGAAAATAGGCCCGTGAAGGGCTCTACCACAGAGAGACCAGAGAGTGAGAGACCGGAGTGCCAGAGAGAGCGAGAGACCCGAAAGCCAGAGAAACTACAAAGAGAAACCAAAGAAAGAGTGAGACCAGCGAGAGGGAGACCAGAGAGATAAAGCAGAGAAACACTGAGTTTTACCCTTTGGTACAGCAATGTGCCATTGCTCCCAGGGTGATTGTAGAGCGTGTATAAACGTGAGGGTGAGGTGAGACCTTTGTGCGAGGACGGTGCGGATGTGGATCCCAGGGCTCGGGCAGGTGGAGGACAGGGACAGGCTGTCATCGTGGTAACAGCAGGGCCTCTCTAGTGCCCTCAGGTGGAGGATGTCGGTGGAGCGGGAGAAGGCAGGGTTATCTACAGAGTCCGCCGAGCCCCAGGAGCGCAACCAGGAGCGTCCAGACAGCTCGTCAATGGGGTTAAAGCTGTGGTACCTGAAGATCATACCTCTGTCAGCCACCTGTATTGGTGCCACTTAAGCAGTTACAGTCCTGACCTTAACCAAACTAACCAAACTCGTTCTAACAGTTCACCTAAACAAACCAGGCACAAAGGAAGAAGGATGAGCAGATGTGTGGGCTGAGCTGAGGAGCGTTACAGTGGCTGAATGGATAGCACTCTCTCTTCTCAGCAAGAAGGTCCTGGGTTCAAATCACAGTCGGAACAGGGCCTTTAATAATAATAATAATAATGCATTGGTTTTATATAGAGCTTTTTGGACACTCAAAGACGCTTCACATGTCATTATTCTTTCACTCCATACACAGTGGTGATAAACTACTTCTGTAGCCACAGCTGCCCTGGGGCACACTGACAGAAGCGAGGCAACCAGTATGTGCCATCGGCCCCTCCCACCACCACCAACCATTCACACACACACCAGACTCATTCTAGGCCAGGGGTCGGCAACTCAAAAAGTTCAAAGAGCCATATTTAAGCAAAAAAAAAAAAAAAAAATCTGTCTGGAGCCGCATAAACTTTACTGCCTTTTTTAAGGTTTATATGAAAGCAACACAGGCTGTAAGCTGTATTAGCCTACTATCAAAATGAGTAAGTATAGGCTACAAATACATAATATGCATTCATGATTATTATATATATATACATTTTCACTGTAGTGCAAGAGAGTGACGCACCATGTGACTACTCTGCTATACCATATATGCTTTAAGTTTAACTTTCCTTTTGTTGCGTTCATGCAATTGTAGAAATACAGTAAATACATCTGTTTTTGGCTCAGTTCTCATACCTGCATTACAGCACTTTCTGTTCATATCCATCACGTCACACGTCGTCACAGGCTGGAGTTTGCTGGAGCTGAATGACCCGAACGGTGTTTCGCACTTTTTTGTTCCTCGTGTTGCAACAAGTTTGGAGATGAATCCTCCAGAATAACTGCGATCGCACTGTTTCTCTCCAAACTGGGGTCAGCAGCCGATTTTCCACATGACTCTTTTTGTTCTTCAATATATTCTCATTACAAAGCAAACATGAAGCAGTCCTTCCTCATTGACTCAATGAGAGCCAAATGTTACAGTCCATTTGTCCTTGAGTTCCTGGTTCTTATCAAGTATTTCCCTTTTTAGCTTTGGGATTTATGCGGACTCATGTGGCACATGCTGGTTTGTTTACAACAGCGGCCGCCCGGTGAACGAGTTCTACTGAGAAGGGTCTGTCTGCGGCTTGCAGTAAGGAGGCGTGTCGGGTAGTGACGTCACTACCCGACACGCCTACTACCCGACACGCCTACTACACGAATTTTGAATCCACGTGAACTTCTGCAAGTGTATCCGTTGAAGAGAAGACATGGCAGACCGTACGCAAACAGTAAGTGACAACCAACAACGTGTTTTATTTATTTTTAGGCCGTCCCACAAGTTACAGTGTATTAATGAATAAATGCACATCACCCTGACTAGAAATGTGAAGCGAACTAATACATTGTAGAGAACTAATACATTGCAGAGATAGCAATTCGTATGGGTTTCTTCTAAGAGTCCATGTGTACGGAAGCTTGTTAGGTTCACTTGTGAGTGTGTTGTTTTTTTCCCGCTGGTATCATGTTATTTCATGATACACAACTATCATGTTATTTCATGATACCAATTTATCATGAAATAACATGATAGTTGTGTTTCATGAAATAACATGATAGTTGTGTATCATGAAATAACATGATAGTTGTGTATCATGAAATAACATGATAGTTGTGTATCATGAAATAATATGATAGTTGTGTATCATGAAATAACATGATAGTTGTGTTTCATGAAATAACATGATACCAGCGGGAAAAAAACAACACACTCACAAGTGAACCTAACAAGCTTCCGTAATTATGCAATGTAGCTGTCAGGGATGAAGCAGACTGAGACGGATCGTAGACCTCCAACCTCAGACCATGTCGATCCTCCTGGACAATAGGGGACCACCCAGAGCAACAACAACTGGTATATTATTCACAGCAGTTGTTCAGATAGATTGGTTGTCTCGCACATGTATAATTACTGTAAATTTTAGAGGTAAGAAAAATAAAGCGACTCATGTTTTTTGTTATAGCTGGGATACATTCTAGATGATAAGCATCCAGAAAATGAAATAATAATCAAAGACTGCAACACTTGCCTGACGAGGGGAAATTTCCAGACTTTGGGGCTTCGAAAGGACATGGATTCCGAGGTACCCAAGTTCAGAATTGTGGCTCACTGATTGGAAGAAATTTAGAAAATGTCATTTCAATGTGCCCACTCTAAAGTGGAAGACCAAGCTGTAGGTTGCATGCGGTTATTTCTGGAATTATAAGCCTTGATATTTCAAACTTTAATACTTGAAGTACATATATTCACAGATGGGAAATGCTTGTCTGCGCCTCGTGCAGGAAATCCTTCAGATACAGGTACAGCTTTTACAGTGGACAAAGAACGGTGCCTATTATCAACCCTAATTGTTTACTCATGTCAATCTATGACAGTTTATCATTGGGCCCAGGAGCTTATTCACTTTGTCAATTCTGTCTTTGGATCACATATTTTTTGTGTTAAGAATGTTTATTCTTGTTCAGGGAAAATCAATTCATGTTGTTGACCTGTATATACCCCCAACATGGCTGCCAACTTCTAATTGCAACCCTGCTGAAGGCTTGCCAGTAAGTATATTTCGTCCCAAGACAAAACACAACAGAATTGACACGTAATTGTACTTTTTGTTTAGGTAAACTCACAAAACATGGATGCTATCGTCATTCCTCTTTGGGTCCCCGGTCATTTCATGTTGTGTGTAAGTTGAAAAACTGTCATCCGCAGGCTCACTCACAACTTTGTTTTTTGCTTTCTGGCATATTCTGTTGTGTTACATTGTGGGATTGAAATATTATTACTGAAACCTCACCTGATTATAGAATTCAGACACATGTTTTGCTGTTACTTTTTCTTCCGCTTCAAGTCTTAACCTTTATCTCACCCTCTATGTTCTTATCTTCATAGACCCATTACAGTTTGGGTCAATATGTTGTATTTTATTCTATATTAAACCCCTCATAAATCTCTGTCCTCCAGGTTATGAAGCCAATGCAGAAAGAGATTCTGTTCATTGACTCTCAGTATCACATGAGAAAGCAGGGCTTTGGGCATGACGGTTATCGTACTTGCATCAGGCAAAATATATGCAGTTTACTTATACCTAGTCAAGACGTTCCCTTGACTAAGGTTTGTGATTTTACAACTGAGATTTATTTAAATTATTTAATTAAAAATACAGAAACCAATTATCTAGTGCTACTGTACTTTCAGTTGTAAAATCTCAGGAAAACCTTTCTGCATGTTTTATCTCCATTTATTTTGTTTTGAAGAAGGCAGTCATGTTCTGACTTGCCAAGTTTGACTTGATTTGTTGTTGAAAGTCACGTTCACTTGACTTCTTTACAATTGCTGACAGCACACACTATCAGTGTCTTACTGTTATTTTTTTTCAACAGTGCTCTTGCGCAGAAACTGGCTCCAGGTCCCTGGATTGAAAAAACAGGGAAAGACATAGAGGTAACTGGATCTAAGATTGCAATATGGACAAATTACTGCTTTCAAGGCAGTCCACTGGGGTCACTGTATTTATGTGGCACCAGTAAGCAGGTTGCCTGCATGGCTACAGTAAATGTACTTGCTGGGTGATTATGATGTGCTTCAATGCAGAAGATTTTTGCTACTACAGTAACAAACTTGTTTTTTATTAGTACACACAATCTGTTCAAAGCATTAGAATCTGTTTCAATAATACATTGTATTTTATATAATTTAACATTTGTGTTACTCATGTTTAGGGACTTCCCCAACAGACACATGCCAATGACTGTGGCATTTTTATGATAATGGTAAGATTAGAATTACATACGCTTACAATTGGTTGAACATATTATCGGCACAGTAATGTTTTTTGTTTCAGTATACTTGGTACCTAATCCTTGGTGCACCATTTGACTTCACTGTCGTAAGTTCATCAAATAATTTCTTCATTGAATTACAAATACATATGTAAAATGGTCAATTCCTGTGTTTGCATAAACTGTATAAATAAGAGTGTAAATGGGTGAGTGGTTCCTTGATGTAAAGCGCTTTGAGTGCCTAAAGCAGGTAGAAAGGCACTATGTAAATGTGACCATTTTCCATTTAGGGCCATTTAATTCCTGTTTAACATTCATTTTGGATTGAGAAGGGCATGTTGCAACATTGAAAAAAAAAATTATGTCAAGTTAATCATTGTGGGTTGTGTGGATGTGCTCTTCATTTTTAAGGACGATATGCCAGTACTGCGAAGATGGTGGTGTGTAGTGCTAGTGGAAAACCTACACCTGGAAGGGTATGATTGATTTACCCTTTGTTTGGTTTGTTGATTTGATTTATTGTGGAAATATATCTTCAACAACACTGCTACCAGACAATTACATGGTTTTTGTTGCTTATTCCAAAGCCTGTGAAATAGTTTGACAAAATATAGTTGTTTCAGTTTTACAGCTTTTCTGGAGTATATAATTTGTTTCTTCAGGCATGGAAGACGATTTGCTCATTTCACTAAAGAGGGCAAGCAAATGGTCAATGGGTGCCTTTCACCCATCTTCAGACTGAAGAGGAAGAGACCGTGTACTGAAGTGACAAATGTAAAAAAAATGTGACATCACAATCATTACTGAGTGATATTCATAGTGGCCTTGAACTAACACATTAGCAACTTGCATCCTTTTTCAGCAGCGCCCTTGGACAATGACTAACCAGGCAAAAACAACTGAAATTGTCCAGCTAACGCAGTTGGTAAGTGACTACCATTATAAGACATTACATAAAGTGCACATGTAATGATTTTAATGTTATTGATGATGTTATAGAATCACGAATGCCTCCTCTGAAGCCTTTCTCTCACAGTTTTAATAAAAGAATGTGTTGCAATATTTGTTTTGTGTTGAACTTTTTCAGTTTCTACATTTCAGAGCCATTCACAGAACACAAATTCATGAAAAAGCATGTATATAAAATGCCAGATAACAATTTGTTCTTTTTGTTTAATCTCCCTCTCCCAGATACATATTTGACGAAACACAATAATAATGAATGTCTGCTTAATGTGCTTTTCAATCCTGTGTTGACAAGTTTCTCAAAACGCCACACTGTGGTCTTTATTCATTTAGTCCACACAGTGTGCCACAGCTGGGTTGCAGTAATGGATGCCAGGCAGCTAATCTGTGCAAGCAGTCTCTCACTATGTCCACACATGTGGGTGAAGTGCATTGCTCAAGAACATACCAGACTGCACTTGGGGCAGCCAGGATTTGAGCCACCAACCATAGGCCCCTTTTATAAATGAATCTACACATTAGACATAAGCACTGGCATTATTTGACTCATTAACTTTTGTCCTGAGCCGCTTCAAATCCCTATTGATTGTCTGAAGTAGTCTGAAGTACTACTTTGATATTTACAAAATTCGTCCATTTTCCCCCAATAAATAATGATGACAATGACATGCACCATAACATTAATTGTGGCGCATAAATTCATTATTGGGCATAAATAGTACTCTACCCGTATTATAATAGATCCGTGCTCATACCCCTTTAAGAAACGTGGAGTGGGCGTGTCGGGTAGAACGTGGAGTAGGCGTGTCGGGTAGTGACGTCACTACCCGACACGCCTACTACCCGACACGCCTCCTTACTGCAGGCCGCAGACAGATACACTTGGTTCTACTTACTCATAGATCAAAATGCTTGAAAGTGGGCGTGGCTAAGATATTTTTCACAATAAAAGTCCTCTGCCTCTGCGGGATGTCCAAAGTTCGAAATACAGACACATTTCACGTAGTGTTTCTGAGGAAGGATTGCTATTAGATATAATCAACGTAAAGTCAGACGTGTTGTTGCTGTTCCAAATACTGTCTGTGCCTCGCGAACTGTTTCCCACTACACTGATCTGAGTAGCTGCAAGGTGCGCAGTTTAACCTGGAGCTGCGGTGGGACTGTGGTGTTTTCATTCACTAAACATGCTCACAACAGCGATGTACAAACACATGCTCATCGCCTGCTCTCACACACTGTTCTCATAGACTACAGTCATAAGAAATGTTGATTTAAAAAAGCAAATTACATGTGGAATTAATGCTGTAGGTGATCGCTATCACTAACCAGGAAAATGACGTTCGGGTTGTATGAATGAGCAATAATGTGACTAATAATGAGCATGCAACTGTGACAGGACGAACGTGTGTGTAAAACCTGACAGCAGCAAGAGGTTGTCACTGAAAGACGACTGCAGACGGTGAAACACGTGTTGTATTTGTAAAGTGGGCTAGATCCACCTGCGTGTCTGTGTACGCTCACCCCGCTACATCTTTGAAATGCGCTGCTTTCGTGGCGATTTCATGACACTCTTCGTGTGCCCTACTGCTTATTTAACATGTCCTAATGCTAACGTTGCTCTGGACCTGGCCCCGAGTTTATACATGGCTATTGTGAGCGCCTTTGGTGAGTGGACACACCACTGTCCCACCTCAGCTCCAGGTTAACTTGCAGACCTTGCAGCTGCTCAGATCAGTGTTGTGGGACGCTGTTGCCATTTGTGGCATGTCGGTGTACACCTTACCCTGAGCTGATTGGTGGGCGTCACCGAGCAGTGCCCATAAAGACACAGGAACGCGCAGCACGCACGCATACGTCTTTGTTTGGGTGCGGTGGTCACGGCGTTTGGTGACCGGCTGCCTCCTCTGTGGAGCACGCTTGTGGGCTTGGGCGCCACAGTCTGGGTTGTGCGTGTGTGTGCATGTCCTCCTCCTCGGTAAGTTGCTCATTGTCCATCCTTTATTGGTTGGCCCTGTGCCAAAGCTGACCATCAAACACTGTTGCTTCAGACTTCGAGCTGCAGTAAGGACCAGCCAATAATCCACCTGGCTCTCCCCCTCCTCCCGCTGTCCGTGCGCCCGAGTCTTGCGTTGGCCGGTAAGATCACAAAGTTTAGTTTAGTTTCCTCCAATCCTTCTAAGACTCGTGTCTCTCCTTTTGCAGGCACGGTTGTCCACGTGCGGTCCCAAGCGGGGGCCGCCGCCCCAGAAAAGAAATCGTTGTTTTGTCCATTCATTGTCCTCATACACAACACTCACCACTGTGCACTGTCCTCACGGTGCCGTGAAAGGCGCACTCTGATTCGCCCACGCACCAGCACTGCTGTGGGGCGTCTTCTGCGAGGCGTTCAGGTGCGCTCGACTAAACGGCGTTCAACAGGAGTGATGATTAAATAGCCCATGTATTACAGGGAAGGACATTTTAACACTTTTGTGCATTCCCTAGGTTAACCCCCTTTGTTTGGTGAGTTATTTTGTGTGTTTTTTGAGTTTGTTTGATTTGCTTGCATTTAATGTTTTGCTGCATGGCTTGTTTTGTCTTTTTGTCATTTGTTTGCATGTTTTCCCATTAATTTCCTTTGCTTCCCGTAAGGTGTTTTTTTTTGCATTATTTTGCTTGCTTAATTTGTCCAACCTGTACAATTTAATGCTGTTTAACCATTTTTATCTATTCCTATAGGCCTATAGTGTTTTAATCATTGTAATAAAATAAATAATTTTGTACATTTCTAACACTGTTCACGTCTCGTCAATGTCCACGGCCCTGTGCGCTTGTTTAATTCATTTAGCTCACATTTTCCCAGGTACTGGCCCTGGGTGGCGTTGTTGGTACTCCTCAGTTTTATTTGAAAGTTGAAAATCCACTCCAACTGCCACACTTGGCGTTGCTGGCAGGATTGGACATTTAAAACTGAGATGTGAACAGTGTTTAAACTTGTTTGTTGAAATTATAAATGTGTTTATTGCTTCACTCATACATTTACATTTTTTTTTTGAGTTACATTTGTCTGGACAAAGCAACGGTTTCCCCTTTCAGAAGCGCAAAAGTTCAGGTCAGTGAAATTACTTTTGTTTACAGCTTACCCAAAGGTCGCATTACAGGTGCTCTTGGTCAGAATGGAGGAGGAGATGCAGCAGCTCAGAGAGCAACTGGCTCAGCTAGAGGCGGACAATGAGCGTCTTCGCCAGGAGAGGGCTGCGCCTCAGGCCGGCCCTGCTGGGGCTTTCCATGCTCCCAACGTCTCCTCCGACCAGGCCCGGTCACTGGGCTCTCGTACCCCCTCCACAGAGCGTGTGTTTGTGATGGCACGTGACCGTAAATGCCCCTTGTTTAATGGTAAGTCTGGCCTGTCTTTGAGTGAATGGCTTGAGGAAGCACAGGCATGCATGCGAGCTAGGCACCTTTCTACTGTTGAGCAGGCATTCTTCCTCTTTGATCACCTGGAGGGTAAGCTAAAGTTGAAATAAAATTTCGTCCAGCAGAAGAGCGGGAAAACCCAAAGAGAGTTACAGAGATACTTCAGGAGCTCTATGGTTGTGTGCAGCCATATGTGAACCTGCAGCAAGCATTTTTCTCCAGGCGTCAGGAGGAAGGCGAGACTTTACAAGAGTTCTCACTGGCTCTAATGGCTTTAATGGACCAGGTAAAGCAGCGTGCCCCAGACAGAGTGCCCAACTCCAATGTGCTCCTTCGCGACCAATTCACTGAACATGTATTTGATAGCGCTCTACGCAGAGACTTGAAACGGTTCATTCGGGACAATCCGACAGCCACTTTACTCCAAGTAAGGGCAGAGGCCCTCAGGTGGGAGCGGGAGGGACTCCCAGCCCCTTTTAGAGAGCGTAGCTTCTCTCTTCCTTCGGTTCGTGGCCTCCAGTTTGAGGTCAGGGGTTCCACACGCCCCACTCAGGCCTCACCTACTCCAAACCCGGGGCTAAATGAGGTGATGGAACTGCTTAAACGTCAGCAAGATCAACTTAACCAGTTGACTCAAACAGTCGCCTCTTTGAAAGCTCCTCGGCAAAATACACCTCCACGAACTGCCATTATCTGCCGTAGGTGCGAACAGCCTGGTCACTATGCCAGTGAATGTGATGGTGTGAGAGTTTACCGCCCCTCACGGGCCACTTCAGCCATCAGATCTTCAAATGCCAACCATTCGGAAAACTGAAGCCCTCTGAACTGCGGAGCCAACGTTCAGAAGGGGCCTCTACCGGCTCGCAGGTAAATGGATACACAGAATTAATGGCGTCATGCCCAACAGTCACTGTAGATATGGGAGGGGTTCAGGTTGTTAGCTTGGTGGACACAGGTTCTATGGTGTCCACAATAACTGAACGTTTCTTTAGGGAGCATTTCGAACCCTGGGGCCCTGATCGTCTCCACTCCTGCCATTGGTTACAACTGCGTGCTGCTAATGGGCTTGAGATTCCATATATAGGTTACTTGGAGCTAGATGTGGCCCTTTGTGGTAAGAATGTCCCCCGCTGTGGCATCTTGGTGGTGCGCGATCCCCCTGGCACTGGTTGTTCTGTTCCCGGTATTTTGGGGATGAACGTTATTCATCGTTGTTACAAGGAGCTCTTTGGTTCCCATGGGTCCTCTCTGTTCGATTCTCCCGCCGTGGCCCAGGCTCCAGGGACAGTTGTAGAGGCTTTGCAAAGATGCCACTATGCAGCTGCTCAGTCCACCGAAACCTTGATCGGGGCTGTTAATGTGCGAGGTCCGCGAGCGGTTCGGATATCAGGGGGCACTATGAAGTTGGTCCCAAGCACCTGCCCCGAGCAGTTTGCTGGTCAGTCTGTCCTATTTGAGCCTCCTCAGTCTGGCCTACCTGCTGGTCTACTGGCGTCCCCCTGCCTTGTGCATGTCGACAAGGGCACAGTTTACATCCCCGTTGTCAACGTGGGGACGTCAGATGCACTCCTCTATCCTCGCACCAGTTTAGGTGCCTTGAGCTGGGCTGATGTGGTGAGTTTGCCATCAGGAGTTGTGGAAGTTAATGCCATCTCAGCCACGACACCCCCTCAAGTGACAGACGACCTTATGCAGGGTAAGGTTGAAATTGCAGACTTGTCTGCCTTGAGTCCGGAAGAACAGGTAGAGGTGAGGGCTCTGCTGCAAAGATACAGCAATGTGTTTGCGGCGCATGAGGGTGATCTGGGATGCACCAACTTGATTGCCCACGAAATACCCCTGCTCGACGAAATCCCCATCCGGCAGCGTTACCGACGTATTCCACCATCCGAGTATGAAGCTGTAAAAGCTCATATAAACAATCTCCTCAATGCGCAGGTAATAAGGGAAAGTAATAGTCCGTACGCATCACCCATCGTCCTGGTCCGAAAGAAAGATGGTAGTCTGCGCCTTTGTGTGGACTACCGTCTCCTTAACGGTAAGACCAGGAAGGATGCCTTTCCCTTGCCACGCATTGAGGAGAGCTTGGATGCGCTGTCGGGGGCACGCTGGTTTTCTACCCTCGATTTGGCCAGCGGGTATAATCAGGTCCCGGTAGCGGAGCAGGACAGACCAAAGACTGCATTCTGTACTCCATTTGGCCTCTTCGAGTGGAACAGAATGCCCTTCGGTCTGTGCAATGCTCCGGGGACCTTTCAACGCCTCATGCAGAGGATGTTCGGGGACAAGCAATGCGAGTCGCTGTTGCTGTACCTTGATGACATTGTTGTCTTTTCTTCATCAGTCTCCCAGCATCTGGAGCGACTGGAACTTGTTTTGGCTCGTCTTCAAAAGGAGGGCTTGAAGGCAAAACTGGAGAAGTGTGCTTTCTTTAAACAGGAGGTGGGCTATCTTGGCCACATCATCTCCAGTGAGGGTGTCTCTACCGATCCGTCGAAAATTGATGCTGTGGCCCATTGGAAACGTCCTGCTCACCTGTCAGAGCTACGCTCCTTTTTGGGTTTTGCCAGTTATTACCGGCGTTTTGTGGAGGGGTTTGCCCGATTGGCTGCACCGCTGCACAAACTGGTGGCAGCGCTTGCGGGTACCAAGACCAGGAAGGGATGCGGGCAGTCCCTAAGTTCCCTATGGTCTTTGCAATGTGAGGAGAGCTTTGAAGGTTTGAAGACCAAACTAGTTTCTGGCTCCGGTGCTGGCATATGCCGATTTTTCACGGCCCTTTATCTTGGAGACGGATGCCAGTTACAGTGGACTTGGAGCCGTGCTCTCCCAGGAGACTGAATCCGGCATTCGACCTGTGGCATTCGCAAGCAGGGGTTTGAGGCCCACTGAGCGCAATATGACAAACTACAGCTCCATGAAGCTGGAGCTGCTTGCACTCAAGTGGGCCATGACCGAAAAATTTCGGGAGTACCTGCTTGGCCACAAATGCGTGGTATATACGGATAACAACCCGTTAAGCTACCTGCAGTCTGCAAAGCTTGGAGCCTTGGAGCACAGATGGGCTGCTCAACTGGCTGCCTTTGACTTTGAGATTAAATACCGCTCTGGTCGCAGTAACGGAAATGCAGACGCTTTATCCAGGCAGTATGTGACTTCTGCAGACTTGGTGGACAGCGTGTTATCTGGAAGCTCAATTCCTCTCCTCCTTCAGCAGGAAGGCCAGCCTCCTGTTGCGTCACAGGCCTTGATTTCTGCCCTCCCTGGTCGCTCCTTAACGGACATTGGTGCCCTGCAGAGGACAGATCCACTTCTGTTGGAGTTCTTGGTCTTTTGGCGACAGAAGAAGCCACCGACCGCTCAACAACGGCATCGCCTCTCCAAGCCTATGCTGGCTTTACTCCAGCAATGGGACAGGCTGACCGAACAGGATGGGGTGCTGTATCGTCGCTCCTGGCGGCCCGATGGGGGTGAGGAGATTTTTCAGATCCTTTTGCCTGCTACCTTAAAACAGCAGGTCCTCCAGGAGCTCCATGAGGCACATGGCCATCAGGGCATCGAAAGAACAACCGAACTAGTGCGCCAAAGGTGCTACTGGCCCAGGATGACCTCTGACATCAAGCAGTGGGTGCAAGAATGTGAGCGCTATCAAGCAGCGAAGGACTCCGCACCAGTTCCTCATAGCTACATGGGCCACTTGCTTGCGTCAAAACCCAACGAAATTCTGGCCATCGATTTCACTGTCCTTGAGCCAACTCGTAACGGGGTGGAAAATGTTTTGATAATGACCGATGTTTTCACAAAGTATACATTGGCATTCCCCACACGTGACCAACGAGCTCCCACTGTTGCTAAGGTTCTAACCAATGAATGGTTCTTTAAGTTTGGTGTACCCTCCCGCATACACTCAGACCAAGGCCGAAGCTTTGAAAGTGCGTTGATCCATCAAATTTGCCATATCTATGGGGTCGAGAAGTCTCGGACAACACCTTACCACCCGGCTGGTAATGGTCAATGTGAACGATTCAACCGCACGCTTCATAATTTGCTCCGCACGCTCCCATTCTCCCGTAAGCAGGACTGGGCCTCCTGTCTCCCACAGGTATTGTACTCTTACAACACCACACCTCACCAGAGCACCGGGGAGTCACCATACTTGTTGATGTTTGGCCAAGAGCCTAAACTCCCAATTGACTTTCTTCTGGGTCAAATTCAGGATCCCGTTGTGGGCACAGTCCAGGACTGGTTGGTGGAACACTGTTCCAGGCTCAAGGTTGCTTTTGCAAGCGCACAGAGGCGATTAGCTCTGAATGCGAAGAAGAGGAAAGAAAGGCACGATGTTCATGTTAGGGAGGCACCTCTGGAAGTTGGTTCTTTGGTTTACCTTCGAGACCATAGTGCACGAGGGCGTCATAAGATCCAGGACCTGTGGCACCAAAATCTCTTTCAGGTGCTGAAGGCCCCTGGTGGAAATGGCCCAACCTACACTGTGGCCCCGGTCACCAATCTACTAGCCTCGCGCACTGTGCACAGGGACATGCTTAAACCTCATATACAATCCTGTCCCCCACCGGAGGCCTCTATGCCAGAGTTTTCTCCCCCTGAAACTCCCAGTAGCAGCTCTTCTCCTAGTGGTTCTTGGCGTCTGTGCACCAGACGCGAAGATTTGGTTCCTCAAACATCCAACTTGCCTCCCCGTGATGGTCCTTCCAGCGGACCCGCGCCTGTTTCAGTAGGGGATGTAGCAGTGGAGGCTCATGGAGACCCAGCTGCTGCAGTGCCCGAACCCAGCACTAGTGAACAGGGCTTACGTCGTACCACTAGGACAACTGCTGGACGTCATCCCAACCCTTATCGTCTCCCTCGCACTCTCGGGGACTGACTGGATATCACACTTGCTGTCTTGGTCCAGTGTTCGTTGTGAGTTTTTGGTCTTTAGTTGTCGTCGGGGCGCCGACAAATTAAGGGGGGGTAGAATGTGGCATGTCGGTGTACACCTTACCCTGAGCTGATTGGTGGGCGTCACCGAGCAGTGCCCATAAAGACACAGGAACGCGCAGCACGCACGCATACGTCTTTGTTTGGGTGCGGTGGTCACGGCGTTTGGTGACCGGCTGCCTCCTCTGTGGAGCACGCTTGTGGGCTTGGGCGCCACAGTCTGGGTTGTGCGTGTGTGTGCATGTCCTCCTCCTCGGTAAGTTGCTCATTGTCCATCCTTTATTGGTTGGCCCTGTGCCAAAGCTGACCATCAAACACTGTTGCTTCAGACTTCGAGCTGCAGTAAGGACCAGCCAATAATCCACCTGGCTCTCCCCCCTCCTCCCGCTGTCCGTGCGCCCGAGTCTTGCGTTGGCCGGTAAGATCACAAAGTTTAGTTTAGTTTCCTCCAATCCTTCTAAGACTCGTGTCTCTCCTTTTGCAGGCACGGTTGTCCACGTGCGGTCCCAAGCGGGGGCCGCCGCCCCAGAAAAGAAATCGTTGTTTTGTCCATTCATTGTCCTCATACACAACACTCACCACTGTGCACTGTCCTCACGGTGCCGTGAAAGGCGCACTCTGATTCGCCCACGCACCAGCACTGCTGTGGGGCGTCTTCTGCGAGGCGTTCAGGTGCGCTCTGACTAAACGGCGTTCAACAGGAGTGATGATTAAATAGCCCATGTATTACAGGGAAGGACATTTTAACACTTTTGTGCATTCCCTAGGTTAACCCCCTTTGTTTGGTGAGTTATTTTGTGTGTTTTGAGTTTGTTTGATTTGCTTGCATTTAATGTTTTGCTGCATGGCTTGTTTTGTCTTTTTGTCATTTGTTTGCATGTTTTCCCATTAATTTCCTTTGCTTCCCGTAAGGTGTTTTTTTTTGCATTATTTTGCTTGCTTAATTTGTCCAACTTGTACAATTTAATGCTGTTTAACCATTTTTATCTATTCCTATAGGCCTATAGTGTTTTAATCATTGTAATAAAATAAATAATTTTGTACATTTCTAACACTGTTCACGTCTCGTCAATGTCCACGGCCCTGTGCGCTTGTTTAATTCATTTAGCTCACATTTTCCCAGGTACTGGCCCTGGGTGGCGTTGTTGGTACTCCTCAGTTTTATTTGAAAGTTGAAAATCCACTCCGACTGCCACACATTCACTAAGTCATTAGAAATGTTGTTCAGGTTATACTCCCCATAAATGAACAACTTTGACAATAAACTGTGACGGAGCAACGCGTTTAAAACATGTCCACAGCGCGATGTAAGAGAAATGCAGCGGAGACGTCTCTGAAAGAGGATCTGGAGCCGCATCAGCAGGTTAATCTGCCGCTGTCCACCGCAACACGTACAAAACCGCGTCCAAACACATGATATATGTGTCTGTCTGCGCTTTTGAAATGTCAGTGAGGGACGAGGCACAGGGGGCAGATGATGTACCATTCTATTGTCAATGATATTGCTTTACAATGCACTGGAGACGTTCAAAGATGTAGCGGGGTGCGCGTACGCAGACACGCAGGTGGATCTAGCCCACTTTACAAATACGCGGTTTTGTACGTGTTGCGGTGGACAGCGGCAGATTAACCTGCTGATGCGGCTCCAGATCCTCTTTCAGAGACGTCTCCGCTGCATTTCTCTTACATCGCGCTGTGGACATGTTTTAAACGCGTTGCTCCGTCACAGTTTATTGTCAAAGTTGTTCATTTATGGGGAGTATAACCTGAACAACATTTCTAATGACTTAGTGAATGGCAACAGCGTCCCACAACACTGACCTGAGCAGCTGCAAGGTCTGCAAGTTAACCTGGAGCTGAGGTGGGACAGTGGTGTGTCCACTCACCAAAGGCGCTCACAATAGCCATGTATAAACTCGGGGCCAGGTCCAGAGCAACGTTAGCATTAGGACATGTTAAATAAGCAGTAGGGCACACGAAGAGTGTCATGAAATCGCCACGAAAGCAGCGCATTTCAAAGATGTAGCGGGGTGAGCGTACACAGACACGCAGGTGGATCTAGCCCACTTTACAAATACAACACGTGTTTCACCGTCTGCAGTCGTCTTTCAGTGACAACCTCTTGCTGCTGTCAGGTTTTACACACACGTTCGTCCTGTCACAGTTGCATGCTCATTATTAGTCACATTATTGCTCATTCATACAACCCGAACGTCATTTTCCTGGTTAGTGATAGCGATCACCTACAGCATTAATTCCACATGTAATTTGCTTTTTTAAATCAACATTTCTTATGACTGTAGTCTATGAGAACAGTGTGTGAGAGCAGGCGATGAGCATGTGTTTGTACATCGCTGTTGTGAGCATGTTTAGTGAATGAAAACACCACAGTCCCACCGCAGCTCCAGGTTAAACTGCGCACCTTGCAGCTACTCAGATCAGTGTAGTGGGAAACAGTTCGCGAGGCACAGACAGTATTTGGAACAGCAACAACACGTCTGACTTTACGTTGATTATATCTAATAGCAATCCTTCCTCAGAAACACTACGTGAAATGTGTCTGTATTTCGAACTTTGGACATCCCGCAGAGGCAGAGGACTTTTATTGTGAAAAATATCTGAGCCACGCCCACTTTCAAGCATTTTGATCTATGAGTAAGTAGAACTCGTTCACCGGCGCGGGGCCGCGTAACCGCGCGTCGCAGGATATGACGCACATCTCAGTTGACACAAATGTTAAAATTAAATATTTCTTATGCACATTTTTACTGCATTGGAAAACATTAAGAATGTTGTCCTTCCTACAGAAACCACATTGAAACTATAAATAAAATATACCCTTCCCACTCCATTTTCGGACATTTTTGAAAAGGCTCCAGTAGCCACTCAAGGGGCACTAAAGAGCCGCATGCGGCTCCGGAGCCGCGGGTTGCCGACCCCTGTTCTAGGCAATGGGGGTGAAGTGTCTTGCCGCAGCCGCCCCACTGTGGCTGCTGTTCCCAGAGGTTAAGTGTCTTGCCATCAGACATCAGAGGGAGTTGGTGGAGAAAGTCTTGTGGTGGGCTCGAACCCACGACCTTCAGGCTCAAAGGCCAATGTTCTACCTTCTGAGCTACTGTAGCCCTTTCTGAGTGGAGTTTGCATGTTCTCCCCATAACTCCGGTTTCCCCTACCACTAAAAAAAGGAATATTAGGTCAAATTCTCCAGCTCTGGTAGTCCTGACCCATCAACATCAACATCTGGAGATGGCGACCCCTGTTTCTGACAGAGGCCCGAGTAGCATCAGGATGGGTCAAATGGAGAGAATGAATTGCTCCTCGTAGATAAATAAAGTGCACCTTTACTTTACTGACAAGGATGCTGACAAGGTCAACCACATAACCCCCGTCCTTCGTAAACTCCACTGGCTCCCTATAAACCTATATATCCAACATGTGAGGGTGTAATGCAGGAGGAGAGCATCCCAGGTCAGTCGGACGTGGTTCTGTCGCAGGATGGGTCTGCTGGTGTGAGACTGACCTGCTCCTCGTCTGGTCCTGTTTGGCCTGCTGCAGGAGAGCCTTGTACCTCCTGACCACCACACAGGTCATCATCATCATCATCAGCAGCAGCAGCAGCATCACTGACAGGCACAGCAGGACCAGCCGGGTTCGGGTCATCCGCGCCTCACATCGTGACCCCATGAACCAGAAGTCCTGTCCCGCAACGCACCTGTACCACAACCATAGCACCGATACACACATTTTACACACAACCTTTACCTGACCCTTGATCATGACCCTAAACCCAGTATGTGTTCATTCTGTCTATAAAACATGAGACTCTGACAATGACTTGTTGTATTTTAAAGCTAAGGTACATACAACAATAATAATAATAATAAATGTAGTTTGTGCCAACAGAAAGACCACAACATTTTCTCTTCATCTTTATCAGAAAAGATCTTTTACAGCCTCTTGAGTCCCTATTTGACTCTTTGGTCGAGAGCAGATTGGCTATAGTATTTACCATTTAATGTTTTACAGTTTTAGATCAACTTTTTCAGAACTGAAAACTAGGGTGTGTGTCTCAGGTGTGGGTGTGTGTTTTTCTCAGGTGTGTGTGTGTACCGGCACAGGGGTGGCTCTCCCGGGGCATGGGTGCAGAGTCCGTGGTGGAGGCAGTGGTTGGAGTGACACACAGACGAACAGCTGAAGTTGGATTTTTGAGAATTTAACGAACATGTGAACCCAGAAGGACACGAGAGCAGCCAGCCACAGGCATCCTGCAGTCCTACACACACATACACACAGACACACACACACACACAGTACTTATTATAGTCCATATGGGCCAGCTCTAACCCTGTCTGTGTTAGCTGTCATACTGTAGGGGCGAGGCACTGACCTGCCAGTGTGACGTTGATGATTGGCTGAGATCTGAAGTTGTATTTCTCCCTCACAGCTCTTGTCAGTCCAGTCCTGTCCATCAGAGAGGCTCCAGAGTGAGAGAGCCACAGCAGAGAGGCCCTAGTGTCAAAGGTCAGGAGACACTGCACCATCTGACCGCTGTCACAGAGAGAGAGTGTCTGTGTGTTAAGGTTAAGGTACACTTTATTTATCTCTGTTGGGCACTTTGTCCTCTGAATTTGACCCATGCTGATGCCTGGAAGGTAGGGGTGGGCAAATATGTTGTACGAGGGGCTGCATGAGAAAAAGAAAATGTTGTGGAGGGCGAACTGGAATATACTTAATATAAGTTGTGGGAAAAAAATATCAATAATATACAGTACAGACCAAAAGTTTGGACACACTTTCTCATTAAATGAGTAATTTCTTTTGACTATTGACTGTAGATTCACACCCAGGCTGTGTAAGGGCTGTTTGACCAATAAGGAGAGAGGTGGGTGCTATGGGCTAGATGATCTGGCCCCCACAATCGCCCGACCTGAAGCCAATCCAGATGGTTTGGGGGTGAGTTAGACCACAGAGTTAAGGCGAAAGGGCCAATAGGTGCTAAGCATCTCTGGGAACACCTTCAAAATTGCCATTAATTTCAAAAATCAAAATTAATGGCAGTCTCTCAAGCGAGCCCTCCGCTGTGGCTGAAGCATTCAACCTTTATTTTGTTGACTCGGTTGCTAATATAGCGCAAGGTTTTGTTCAATCATCTCACTCACCTACAGGCAATACAGACCCACCTGTTCTCAGCCTAACATCCATCTCAGAGACAGATGTTACACGGACCATCAAATCACTTAGACCATCCAGATGCAAAGACATATTGGGCGCGCAGTCATGTTAAAGGACATCTCCACTTCTCTCACAACCCCCATCACCAAACTCATTAATATGTCTTTCTCTGAGAATCTGTTTCCTTGTATCTGTAAATCTTCTATCATCATTCCTATTTACAAAAGCGGTGACCCTCAATCCATGGACAATTACAGACCCATCAGCATCCTACCTTCAGTCTCTAAAATAGCAGAGAAAATTATTTGCAGAACAAATATCCCTTCACCTTCACACCACACCCTACAGTCTCCACCCAATGCAGTTTGGCTTCAGAACCCACCATTCCACCGAAACAGCCACCTGCTACTTCACAGAGAACATCAGAGCACTGCTGGACAGGGGAGGGGTGGTGGGTGCTGTTTTCTTAGACCTCAAAAAAGCATTCGATACAGTATCGACAGTACAGTACAAAATCCTTCTGGCCAAATTACACTCATTCAACTTCTCTCCCTCTCTCATAAAATGGATTGAATCATATCTCTCACATCGCTCGCAACAGGTCCGTATCCAGTCTCACCAGTCTTCACCTCTCGGTCTCTCCACCGGTCTTCCTCAAGGGTCCACACTAGCTCCTCTACTTTTCTCCCTCTACATTAACGACCTCCCATCTGTCTGCAACATTCCCATACTCATGTACGCCGACGACACAGTAATATTCACACATGGCAATAACACTTCACAGGTTGCTGAAAAACTCACTCACTCCATGGCTCACATTTCATCCTGGCTCAATCACTCCTGTCTCAAACTGAATACATCCAAAACAGTTGCAATGTTCTTCTCCAAATCTTACAAGTCTCTCCCATGCACAGATCCAGATGTTTTAGTTTCAGGCAACAGGCTACAGATCGTCACAGAATACAAATACCTTGGAATAATAATTGACTCACACCTTTCATTCAAAAAAACATTAAAAAAACATGCAATAAAATTAAATACAACCTCTGCAACTTCAAACACATCCGCCACCAAATGTCTACTCCAGCAGCCAAAATGTTTATGCACTCCATGATTCTGTCCCACATCACATACTGTCTCCCCCTGGTCCCTAGCAAACACCACAGCCCTGAAACCCCTGCACTCACTCTACAAACGGACGGTAAAAACCCTGGACAAGAAACCCCATCACTCTCACCACTGTCCCATACTACACAAACACAAACTTATCACTCTCGATAACATGGTCAAGTTCTCCAATCTCTGTCTGGTCTATAAAATCCTTCATGGTCTTTCATCCCCACCAGTTCATCAATACCAGAAACAGCACCCACACCAGGACCAGGGGGGCAGCGAGAGGGGACTGTATCACCCCCCTCAGGAAAAGCACATTTGGTCAATCTTCATTCTCCGTCCGTGCCACCTCAGATTGGAACCCCCTACCCACAACTATCAGAAATGCACCCTCTTACCTCACGTACAAAACACAGTTAAAACACTGGCTCATTGATAATCACACCTGTCAGCACTGACTCCGCCTGCTCTCGCTGCCCCCTGCTGGCCGCATGCTCTGTGTGCGCCTGTATGTGTTCTATGTCTGTCTCCATGTGATTGTGTAATGTTGTTTGTTGAACGACGTGTGACTGAAGGTTTTACTGTCTTGTCCTTGTAAATATTGTAAATATCTCACATTATTTTAACTGTGTAGCAAACATGTTTTTATCTTTTCAGGAGACATGGGACTACGGATGAAAAATAGCCGTTTGGCTAATTCTGGCATATTTACAGAAATGTTCATTACTGTCCCAGTAATAAATAAATAAATAAGAAGCTCATTAAGGGGATGCCAAGAGTGTGCGAAGCAGTAATCAGATCAGAGCAAAAGAACGTATATTATGAGACATATTTTCAGTTGTTTCATACTTTTTCTTGTACGTACATAATTCCACATGATTTAATTCACAGTTCGGATGGCTTCAGTGTGAATCTACAATTTTCATTATCATGAAAATAAAAAACTCTGGACTCTGAATGAGAAGGTGTGTCCAAACTTTTGGTCTGTACATATTATTACCATGATCTCCATCGTATGGGACATTCACTGAGTACGTCATCTGTTTGGGCCTGCCTGGACAGAGGCTCTCACACTCACTAGTCCTTAGAGATAAACACTTTGTATCAAAATAGAGACTCCATAAGTTGTAACTGTATAACTGTACACGCCACAGAAAAAAAGCATTTTGATTCTGAATCAGTGAATATCTAAAAGTTTCTTGATGGGGAGATTCACTTCCTGTGCCTCAGAGGAGTGGACTTTAGCACCACTGCGTGACATCAGGTCCCACAGTAATTCACAGTGACATTGTAGGCAGCTCCGCAATACTGTATGTCACAGAGTCACAGTCCCCCAGATGACACTTTTCAAAACCGATTTCAAGGATGATGACAAGGATCATTCTCTATGACGACGACATAGACGACATTCTCTATGTTTACCTTTTGATTGGAAACTGCAGCAAGTCCTAAGTAGCTCTGAAACAGTGGTTGTTTTGTGTTTTACAATTGCCATTTCTTTTGCTTTTTTCTGCCTGAGGTGTTGTTGCAGTACAGTGTTCATGGTTTTGCACTGTTCCAGACCGGAGCTGAGAGGTGTTATTGTCCGGAACAAGCAGATCAGGTAAAAGTTCACTGTAGGAATGCAAACCTTTTGAAAAATGCTAATGAAGCATTCAGCATTTTGCTTTGGACTAGAGCAAAGAAAATGGTCCGAACCAAGCGGCTGCTCCACCTCTGCTGCTGTGACCTGTCCTGCTCCATCCAGCGGCTGCTCCATGATGAATGTGATTTTGCTGCTCCTGGACACCTGAATTTATCCCACTGGATCAATGAAATATCTATCTATCTTTCCAAATACACTGAAGGAAGGCATCTACAAACAAGGACAATCAAGTGGCTGACTTTCATAGAAAGACCAAACTGACCTGACAACAAACCAAAAGGAAAAATAAGACATGAACAAGATAAACTCTCAAAGGATATAAGGTACAAGGATCAGCATAGAAAAGGTATTAGAGCAAGGTAGCAAAGGACGACACCAAAAAAGTGCACAGTGAGGTTAAGGAAGGACCACACTGCTGACAGTGATTAGGAGATCGGAGATCCAGAGGTCAAAAAGGTTTACAAGCTATTAACACACTCAAAACTGAACCCACTCAAGCCATAGATTGTTTCAATCGCGTGGTAAAGAAAGAGAAGAAAACAAGCCACATTAGCTCCGGACTCCTCAAAGACCTTATGCAGGGTTTGTATCAATTAGAAATAAAGTTTTAATACCATTTTATACTAGAAAATAACTACTGAAGGTTTCAAAATCAATGGGTTTTTTTTAATCACCCAAGAGAAAAGAAACAAAAAACAAACAAACCAGCGCTTCTCCCTTGGTGACGCCACTGTGGGCACCTGTGTGATCCGGAAGTACATGTCCTCCATACTAACATTTTGTCTGTCTATATTTTGCATGAACCGATTGAGGCCGGGAATGCATTCCCTCAGTTCTACCTTTCAAGTCAGGAGCGCTGTTGCACACTTCTACCTTTAAGGCTGGTTTTTTTTCTTTTTTATGCATTTCTCTGAATGCCTTGCAGTTCTTGCTCGGCCGTGATAGGTCGAGAAGCCTCTGCCTATGTCCCCAGAATGCAGCGCGCTTCTGACTATGCTTTACTTCCTGTTTTTACAGTCTATTTTTTCTAACGGAGTGAAGTTAAACTGTCGAACATTCTATCAACCCCATTTTCTATTGATATCGAACACGTGTCTATCGCAATATATATCATTATCGTTTTATCACCGACCTAACAAGAAGATTGTTGCAATGCACTGCTCACAGACGTACAATAGGCTTCAGAACAAAGGAGAAGAGGAGGCTTTGGACGGAGGAGGAAAGAGGAAGAAAAGGAAGAAGACTACACATGTGTTAGAGACGAGGAGGATGGCCTTGATCGCAGCCTCGGTGAGAGCCAACAAACTTCAATGAGTTGCAGAACAACCTCTCAATATTGTTCACAACTATGTTCCTCACACAGAGACTTTACCCCTGCTTTAGCGAGCGGCGCTAGGTGAAATATGCGTAAGTCACTATTACAACTGTCTTGTTTAGCCTTGATCATTAGAAATGAAACGAGTCATTTCTAAAAGTTATCACATTTATGATATACAAATACAAAGAAAACAGCGTTTGATTGTACCTTTGTGTGAAAAGTGACATGAGGAAATCCCTGTTAGGCTGTTTGCCTGGCCATAGCCATCCGTAAACTCCTGTCAAATAATATTTCCCACATGTACGAAATGTACGAAATATGGTAAGACCATAGACTGTTAATGTTGATAAGACGAGGCTGAATCCCTGTTACTCCCTGTTTAGGGAACGTGCATGAATCCAGTCTGTCAGGATTACACTACATTAACATGAAAACCATTGATTTGATTGACGTGAAAACATTTTTTCTAGGGGAGGCCCCTAGAGACCTCTCTACCTCACGGCCCCACTGGTGCATGTAATATGTTTATATGTGTCGAGAATTGAATTGAAGTTGTTGAAATTTTTTGTTGTTGATTTAATGGCGGTTGGATGGCACTTTACACACTCACAGGCCCTTACCAATACTAGTTACTATTTATTTACCTGTATAAGAGGCGTGTTTGTGTATTTGTGCTCAAACATTTGGCAAAAGGTGTAAGACTTATTTTTGTAACTCGCTTTGCTCTTCATCCGTTGATACTCGGACCATAAACAAGGTTTTTTTCTCTGGTTCGCTGCCGGAATCACTGTCCATTTTGAATGAGTCACACTTCCGGGTGTGAGGATGAGACAACGCAAATGTATTAAAAACATATTTTTTCAATAAAATAAAGGATATTTTTTTCCGGAATCTATTTCATATTGACATTAATTGATAATCTGTCTTGCCATTTTGATATCCACAAATTATCGGACAAACCCTGCATAAGGTCGTTAAGGTGGGAGGAAGGATAAAAAATGCATTAAAGACCTTATGCCGGGTTTAAAAAAAAAAAAATTGTGGATATCAAAATTGCATGACAATGTCAATCTGAAAGAGATTCCGGCAAAAAAACTCCTATATTTTATAAAAATAACGTGTTTTTCATGAATTTAAGTTGTCTATGCTCTAACCTGTGTGTGACGTCATAGCGGGTAACACCCATGCATTGAAAACCATGGATCTATGCCACAGGACTGCCTTTTCTCTCTTCTCTCCACTGATGCCCAACACAATACTGCACTCTACAGGTGACAATTGCTCACTACACATAAATTGCCGTTTGAGAGTGAAAAAGTGTCTGAGGTGGGATTTGAACCCCAGTATCTGGACACAACCACTGGACTATCTCAGTGCCAACGAAGAATTACAATCTAGTATTTATGTCAGACTCGCTGTACACGGCCTTGTCATCTTGAATATCCGCGAAAAAAGAACGAATACCAAATTGTAAACAACTTACAGCGTTGAAACGTACCCACTCTGACGTCACCAAGGGCTGTGAAGTTTTTTTGTCTCTAAGGTTGTTGCTATGGGGTTATTTCGATTTGGGGGGATCAGACAAAAAAACAACAACTGATTTTGAAACCTTTAGTAGTTCTCTTCTAATATAAAATGGTATTAAAACTGTATTTCTAAATAAATCAAACCCGTCATAAGGTCTTTAATCTCAAGCACTTTGAGGCGTCCTATTACAGTGCCAAAGAAGCACCATATTACCAAATTGTTGATAGCACCTTTCCTCAGCAAAGTGCAGCATCAGGGAAAAGGACAGACCTTTTACAAGATCAAATTCAAGTAAAAAGGTGGAGACAGGTGCAGTACTCAACAAAGTAGTTTTGGTCACGTTGGAAAAAGGAATATCTTGCTAATATTTCAACAAGGCAGAAATTGCACACTCAAAGGAAAAACTTGAAAGTTGGAGATATTGTCATGGAAGAGGCAGGGGATTTACTCGTCAATGAAAGGAGATTAGCACAAGTAGTGGACTAAGTAATTGACCAAGAAGGAAAGTGAAAATTTGTTTGGACTTTCTTCAGGTAGGCAGTAAACTGCCCAGTGCAGAAACTGATTTTACTTCTAGAGATTGAGTAACAAAACTGTTTTGCAACTGTTACAGTGTACAGTATGTGTTAAACCTGGTTACTTCATTAGAAAATCATTATCGCTCTATGTTTTTGTTTGTTATTCGGCCCTAAAGATTTGGTGGGAGTGAATTTGACTTTAATGAATATTTTCCCATTATAGATTACGTAGGTTTCCTCCGGGTACTCCGGTTTTCCCTACCACAAAAACATGCAGACTAGGCAAAATCCTTCAGCTCTGGTAGTCCTGACAGAGCCAAGCATCAACATCTGGAGATGGGTTCCCGGGCGATGTTCTACGGCGACCACTCCTCTTGACGTAATCCTTAGCGGCATCAGGATGCAGCAAATGCAGAGGATGAATTGCACTACGGGGATAAATAAAGTGCACCTTTACCTTTATTATTATCTTTTGTTGAATGATCAGGGCTGTGGTTTTGTGTGCTTGCACTGTTTGGCCAAGGGGCGATGCCTAGCAACGCAAGTTGACACTAGCAGTTTTTACAGAAACTGGATAGATAAATAGATACATTATTGATCCCCGTAGGAGAAATTCAGGTGTCCAGTAGCAGCAGAAACACATCCATCCACACAAACAAAACAAATAAAGAGGTAATTCTAAAAATAATAATAGTATAAAAATTTGCCAACTTTGTCTAAAAATAACTGCATTCACTGTTATCGAGTGCTGACTTGTTTTTAAACTGTGGAGTATCGACGTAATACTTTTTCATATCAGTAGATGGCAGCAGATAGCTAAGTACTTTGAAACGTAAAAATTTAATGCGACCACCAGATGTAAGGCGTAGCCGAGAAGTGAAAGTGATTGAGACGTGTTTGAGAAGGAATTATGCCATTATTTGACTATTTTGGCTGAGAGTGGATTTTTGTTTTGTTTTTTACCACACAGTGCCACTTTACTCCCAAGCTCTTGTTAACTCATTGTATTGTGAAATATTAAATACAGCTTAAGTTTGCTGGGAGAAGTATGGTAACTTGAGCACTATCCTCTCCTCCTTTCTACTTGACCTGTTTAGCATTATTAGGATTTTGACTGTAGTTTGTTCATTGCTATTCACCCGTTGTCCCATTGTATGTTTCATGGTGCGATGACGGGACCTCTGAGCCTGGCCTCCTCCATCTACACCTGCGGACTGCCCCGCCCGACCCGCCTGGGAGTGCTTCAGTCCTGCACCGGACCTGTCCACGTTCAGCGGCCACTGGTCCACGTTCTGTAGCTAGCTTAGGTCCTAGATCATTAGCCTGTCCGTCCGGAGGAGCGGATCCCTTTTTCAAATGGGTCTCCCTCCCTGTGGGTTTCCCTAGTTCTCCCCAAGGTTTCTCACTTTTTCCCACTGGGTTTTTTAAGAGTTTTTCCTTGTGGATGCAGGAGGGTCTTGTTGGACAGTTAGTGTCCAACAGAAAGGATTGGTGATGATCAGGACACTTTAGCATTCTACAACATGTATGGACATTTTCTTCTGTGTGTGCTTTATATTCTTCATGTGTTTTAACTGTTGATTCTCTGACCTGTTGGTGATTTCAATGGTTTTGTTAAGTCCTCTGAGATGACTTCTGTTGTGACCTAGGGCTATACAAGAATACATTGTATTGTATTGTATTGTATTGTATTGTATTGCATTGTATTGACGCGAGGCTGTGCCTAATTTAGGATGGATTTCTAATTTTGTGCGCGCAGCAACGCGTCTACCATGGAGTGACCCTTGGCTTTAGATCGGATCTACACACACACAGCACTTGTATCTAGACATAAGCAGGAGGACGGGCAGGTTTTACAGTGATTCTGGACATTGTTTTTTTTTCTTTCACAAAGCCTTGCGTCTGGCCAAACCAGCGCACAGAGACCATGAAGACAAACACATGCATGTGATTTGTGTTGCTCTACATCAGTTCTCTGGCCCGTACTGTCCTCTACACTTCTCCATAGACTATACAGGGCATCAGAAGGACATGCGCACGGCCAGTGTCACAGTGTTGTTCACATGCTAAGGTATTCAAAATAAAGTTATGAACCATCAGTTCTGAGAGACCAGCTTAATCAACCAGGGATGCTACAAGCCGATGGCACAAGTGACCATCCAATGTGGAATCTACCAAGGAGATGCTCTGTCCTGAATAGGCCTGAACCCTCTTAGCCAAATAATCAACCAGACTGGCAATGGATAGCGCCTCAGGAACGGAGCAAAGATCAGTCACCTAAGCTACATAGATGGCGCAATCGGATGATTAAATGTCAATGGTAAACATTCAGACAGCCTGTCTATCATTAACAGCAAGATCTGGCTTCTTTATCAGTAGAAATGTATATGACAAAAACTAGTATTTTACCAGAGAGCAGCGGCAACCACACATGTCAGCCTAGACTCTACTGGAAGTCCCTTTATCTGACACTGTTATGTCAGATACATGGAACATGTCAAGTATCATTGCGACTAAGATAAGTGGATATATAGAACAAATCATAAGTACAGCACAGAAGGGCATTGGTAGAGACACCAGAGGAGCCAAACACCAGCTCCTGGTTGACATTTTATGTGCCACTTTAGCACACCAGCGACCTTTTCGGAGTATGTCTGCATGGCACCACCTCCTTGAATATCTGTGTGTTTGTGGCCAGCTCCTGTCATATGTGCAGACATTAGTGTGATTTGATCGTTCACTTGTCAGAGCCCTCAAAAAACATCCTCATGATAAACACAGAAAGGTGTGCAGGGATGCAGGGAGAACATGCAAACTCAACTCAGAAAGATCCTTTTCCCACTGGGATTCGAACCCAGGTCATCTGGGCTAAGAAGAGGAAGTGCTAACCACTATGTTACTGAATGTGTCTGTGTGTGTGTGTGTGTGTGTGTGTGTCTGTGTGTGTCTGCGTGTGTGTCTGTCTGTGTCTTCAGTGTTTGTGTGTGTTACTGAACCTGCTCCACACTCTCAGAACCTTCTGGAACCCTGGGGCTTGCCGAAGATACGGGTCCAACTGAAAACGACACATTTGAGTCATGTTCCTTAACAGCAGTTCCTCAGCATTAGCATTAGTCATAGAATTAGCATTAGTCTTAGATAGTATTGGGCAAGTTACTTAAAAACGTAATACATTATGCATTACTGTTATTTCAAAGTAATATATGTAAGGGATAACGTATATTACGCAGGTCATTATCGGAAAATAAGTACCGACAGGGCTATTTTCCGATAATGACCTGCGTACTATACGTTATCCCGCTTATTACACGGCTTTATACCAACAGAACACACAACATAAACTTCAGTCCACTTTTAGGAATGCCGAAAGGTTTATTTAATGACAGAAAATAAAATAGTTCCCAAAGGCTTTCCCGTGGCTATGCTAGCAACAGTTAGGCTGGCAACTTCCAAACTAGAACTCTCTGGAACTGCATGAAAACTGAACACAGAATTTTGAACATCAGCGGTGAGTGACCCAAACATAAACTTAACCTAAATCCATAATTCGATCCTCTGCAAATGTGTCGGTATCTACTTCCGGGTTTTTCAGGATCGCCTTTTCTCGCATTACATCAGTGTTTTTGTCATGAAAACGTAAACGGACAATTCTGAAAACTTCTGTGCACTTGTATTAAGAATGTATATGTACAATATCTTCTCCAATTAACATTTAGTTACGTTGATTGATTGGCATTTACGTTTAATGAGTGTGGCTAGCTCCGGAGTGGCCGGAACTACTTCCGGGTTTTTCATGATCGCTTTTTGACGCAGATAAATAGTATTTTTGTCATGAAGACAAGAGCAGTAAATTCTGAAAATCTCTGTGCACGTGTGTGAAGAATGGATATGTATAAGTATTCTCCGATTAACATTTAAGTGTGTTGATTGATTGGTATTTGCGTTTAATGAGCGTGGCTAGCTCCGGAGTGGCCGGAACTATTTGCGGAGTTATCCATGCGTCTGAAAGACAAGCAGAGAGTGCGTTGCCATGGGCAGCGGCCATTATTGTTTTGAGAGGTCCGTTATAGAAAATAATGACCGGTAGAACGTATTGAAATTACATTCAAATCAATGGAGCGTTCTACTGCTGCTGTGAGGAGCGTGTAATAATACACAATAATATTACTGTTGTGCATTACTTTTGAATGCGCTGGAAAATGGCAGCAGGTCCTAAGTAGCTCTGAAACCGTTGTTGTTTTGTGCTCTACACATTTTTTTCTTATTGCTTTTTTCTACTTTAGATGTTGCTGCAGTACAGTTTTCATGGTTTTGCTCCGGTCCAGACTGGAGCGGAGAGGATTCATGTTTCAAACTAAGTGGATCAGGGGAAAATTCACTGGAGGAATGCTAACTTTTTGAAAAATGCTAATGAAACCGGGAGGACCGCTAATCTTCCGCTAATCTTTCGGTCCCCATAAATGTCCCATGCGCAACTGATAACAAGTCATTCATTTGAAAAGGGCGCCATCGTGGATCAACAGGGCTTGGAAGGTGGTGAGTCTACAGGAAGATGGCTGCTGCGACAACCTTGTCCTTACAGCGGGGGCTTAGGGCTTAGGTCTTGTGGAGGGATTGAACCCACGATCTTCAGGCCCAAAGGCCAATGCTCTACCAACTGAACCCCTCAAACAGTTCAAACACACACAAAAAAATAGAACACATAGGTATTGGTCCATAGGGGGAGTTGACCAATGTCTATTAATGTTGTAGAATTCTTTAGCCTAAAGAAGGCAACTCAGCTTCACTAAACTGTTCTGTTCCATCCAGACTGCTGGATATAGCTTTAAGAAGCCACCGTTATAATACAGCCCATGGCTTTAAAGTCCAAATATTATCAGTTTAAACTTAACGTGTCTGTAAAAGAAGAACAAAAAAAAATGGGATGAGCCTTATGCTCCCTTCTCTAACTCAATTTATTACGCATATATCCCTGGATCTTTGGGAATCTGTGAAACGCTGTAAGTTAGTTGTACTTTGGTTTTGGCTGCAATTGATGCAGAGCACGGTTTTGTTGATTCCATTTATTTTCAGAGATAATGTAATTGCTGTATGGTAACTGCTTTAGTCCAAAATGTACCATAGCGGCTGTTGTCAAAACTTATCTTGAAAAATTGACAAAGACATTTTGGTAGAATGTTAAAAGCCCAGATCAGCCTCAGATTCGATATGTCAACTGTGATGTCAGTCACATTGAAAATGAAAGGTCATCAGTGACAAAGCGGAAGATGAACTCCCGTGAATTAACATTAACACCAAATAAGTATAAAAGAATCATTTTTTGAAAATAAATTTAAAAAGGAAATGACCCTTGATCCTTCCGCAGCTCGTTCCGACCTACCTCTTGACAGTTTTGATTTACACATTGTACACTCCGCATAACTCTTGTCACTCGTTTACTTTAAAAACTGAGCTTGAGCCCATATCTGGTAGGACATTTATAACTTTTGTGTTAGAACTGTTTGATTGTCTAATCTGTGCAATTTCAACGGTTTTGTTAAGTCCTCTGAGATTACTACTGTTGTGATTTATCGGTTGTACAAGATTAAATAGAATTGACATTTCTAATAAAATCTCATAGTGCACAATATTCATTTTTGCTTTTCAAACCAAACTGGATTAGTTTTGTTTAGTTTTAACTTTTGAACTGAAACAGGATAAAGTACTTCAAATTGTCATGGATAGTATTGTAGTAGTAAGTGTCGTATTATAGCTGGTCCTTCTATAGGGGCTCTCACCCACAGGGCGCTGTCCTCTTCCAAACCTTCAGGAGTCAGTGTGGAGCCGTCCAGCAGGATCTGGAGAAGCACCTGGAAGGAACCCTCTGCGTGTACACACACACACACACACACACACCCATCAACATCTGCCTGTGTTTAGGACCAGGCTCTAAAGTGATATTTTTCTTCATTTGCTTTAAAAGAGTTGAAAAAGTGCTTTCAAATTGGCCCACTTTAAGAACAATTCCTTTATTTCTTGCATGTTTTCCATGAGCCTGGTGCATTTGGTCCGTTTCACAAAAATATCATAGAAATGAGTGGTACATTCACAATTTTCCTTTGGTATTGGCGTAATCAAGATGAAACGGCCACAATACCTTTGATGATCACTTGCTTGTCCGGTAAAATGTAGAATGTGGAGCCACTCTTCACCGCAGGGCCAACCACAGTTGCCGAGCTCCAAAGAGACTGCGTGAATGTGGTGAGGCGGTCTACTGACTCGGAGGTCCATGAACTCTGCCAAACTCTTGTGGTCAAATCCATGCTCTGTTCTTCATTTGTGCTTTGCGACATTGACGGAGCTAAAGCATGATACTCCCTTGAAGTCGGCCCTAAACTGTTCTGTTGTTTTGTCACTTGTACTATTGCAGACGACGTGGAGGTCTCACCCATGGTACGGCCTCCCCTGTGACTTGGAGATACCAATGTTGTTTGAGGAGTTCTGTCATCTGGATCTATGGTTGCAGGTGGATCTATGGTTCCAGATGGATCTATGGTTCCAGATGGATCTATGGTTCCAGGTAGATCTATGGCTCCCGGTGACTCTGTAGCAATGGGTCCAGGTGACTCTCTCCACAAACTGTTGATTTTGCTGCTTCTCGCCAGACCGCGGAAGTCAGAACTGGTTGTCAACTGGTTATATTTTACCATTATTGCTGCCTCCACTTTGTTGCTTTCACTGTCTGCTGAATCGGTTTTCCATGTTGCCAAAGAGTTAAATGTACTTTCTGTAATGGCCTGTGTCCAGAGGCTTGAAGCCATCAGTGTTGAGTGGATTTCACTTTTTGGAAAAATCATGGATGTTTCCTCCAGCTTTTCCACTGAAACCCTAGTGTTATGCGACAAATCATAGCTGCTACTTTGAGGCAGCTCTTCATCATGTGTCCTTGCACTCCTAGCCACCACTGTGCCGTACCATTTTGTCAAATCTTTAATTGTATTTTGTGTTGACACAGATGAGTCATTGGCGCCTAATGTAGGCCAACTGCCATTCTCTACTTGTGCTGAAGTTCTGCTTGTGGACAACACAGACTCCCTTGACTCTGATATTGTCTTCACTGTTGTCTCTGGGTGAAATTCTAAACTTGCATTTTCATTTATGAAATAGTCCATCCCTGTATCAGTCGCTGCAGATGCTTCCGGCCCATTGTTCCATGCTTCCCCAGGAAATGACGAGGCTTCCAGATTCACACTCCCGGACACTGGAGGAGGTGTGCTCGGAAAAATGTCAGTGCTGGGGACAAATGTCTCAGTAGGTGCTGAGCGAGGGGTGCTCTGGAACAGCCCAGTGTTGAGGTCAAACCTCTCAGTAGGAGCTGAGGGAGGGGTGCTCTGGAACAGCCCAGTGTTGAGGTCAAACCTCTCAGTAAGAGCTGAGGGAGGGGTGCTCTGGAAAAGTCCAGTGTTGGGGTCAAACGTCTCAGTAGGGGCTGAGGGAGGGGTGCTCTGGAAAAGCCCAGTGTTGGGGTCAAACGTCTCAGTAGGGGCTGAGGGAGGGGTGCTCTGGAACAGCCCAGTGCTGGGGTCAAACGTCTCAGTAGGAGATGAGGGAGGGGTGCTCTGGAAAAGCGCAGTGTTGGGGTCAAACGTCTCAGTAGGAGCTGAGGGAGGGGTTCTCTGGAACAGGCCAGTGTTGAGGTCAAATGTCTCGGTACTAGCTGCTCTCTCGGACCGGAGTTTGCCGGGGTTTGAGGAGGCGATGCTGTGGTGGGAGTGTGGGATGGCGTCAATCTCTATTGAGGGGCCTTTTTCCTCCTGTACTGGAAAACAAAATAAGAGAAAGGTGTGACCTCACTGTAGCCCATCAAAAATAATATATAATTATGCAATTTTGATGTCAATAATTTCATTGCTAAATGAATCTAGGACGATGTTGTCTTGTCTAAAAATGTTAGAGGCCTTAGAGGATATTGCACTAATATAGTTTCTAGAGTACTAGGGTAGATTGTTCCACTATTACAATCATGGATTTAGAGACAGTTCACTCAGAGACCTGGGACATCAACACTCACCACGATAGAAGAGCTGGAAACCATGTGAGGAGCGCTTTGCCCCCATCCAGGTCACCAGTGCTGTGTTGGGGTCACATCCTGACAACAAAGTGATGTCACCTGCCCCCAGCCTGCTGCCTTGTCCACCCTGGAGGCAAGATACTGTCATGTTGGAGCCCTTCTCCAGCAGCCCTAGCCTCAGCCACAGCGCGTGTCGCCCTGGAACCGCCAAAGTCCTGGTGCACATAGTGAGTGGAGACCCTCTGAGGTCCAGTCCCAGACTCACATGTCCCTCAGGCTTCTGAGACAAGTCCATGTGGCCGCTGCAGGAGTGGGACAGCAAGGCCAGAGTGTCTGCAAAATACAGGAGAGTCTCTCTCTATCTCTCACACATATGGAACATGAACTCTGTTCTAAACACCCTCTTGCCTAAATGCTGCTCTCTCACACTCATTACCTATAATGAGTTCCATGACAGTTTTCTGGTGGAATCACATGCCGAGTTGCATGACCCGAGGTCTTTCAGACACGCGCAGCTCATTGTTCCAAAAAAGAACCAAAGACAAACCACTCCAGTCTCATTTGTTCTGGTCAATCATGATAGCAACATACAACTTTACATGTATTAAAATCATGATCATCACACTGTGCAGATCTTATTGTATAATTGTAGATGTCATAAATATTATGGGAATGTGAGTGAGCTATGGTAGACATCTTCCTCATGTTTTGTGCGGGTGTGTGTGTTTGCGTAAATATATATATATATATATATATGCATATCTATCTGTCTTGGAAACAGTCAAACAGAATCAAACAAAATGTGTTATTTGTAAAACATAATTATGTTAGAGCAAAGAAAGGTTTCTCACCCATCATTTGTACTTCTTAGCAGGTCCTGCTAAGAAGTACAAATGATGGGTGAGAAACCTAGTCCCTGGACGACTGAGAACTTACACAAATAAATATGTTAGGTAGTCAAGCTTTAATTTGAAGTGGAATCGGTGTGGACAGTTATTATTGAAGAGTTTCTCATTACACATATCTAAACGGTGGTCTGTCGTAGGTGAAATTACCTCTGAGCAGTAGCAGCAGCAGCAGTAGGATGGAGTAGGACTCGAGCTGTAGCATGATGCTCAGGCATTTCACTCACCGCAGCAGGAAATATCCACACAGACACAGACACCAAAGACTGCCGAGGACTGATGTGGGCAGAGTGCCGGACGACAAACACTAAGGGCACGTCCCCCTGAGCAGAGACCGCCTGGAAGGGGTGGGGCCAGAGTGATGTCCATGGTGCAGGTCCTGTGGTCCAGGGCCCTTAATCACCGCATCAGGAAGGAAGGCTGCCGCAGAATAGAAGCCCAAGGGGTCAGGTAGATATTTATCTTTATTTGGCATATCATTTTCATGGCTGGTATTTGCTTTTTTGTAGACTCAGTATACTGGAAGCACAGGAGGTGGAGCCATTTTTAACTGCTGCCTTTATATTTAGGCCCGAGCCCCGAACGGGGTAAGGGCCTATTGCTTTCACAATGGTGAAAACAAATGGTGGCGGTGCGTGACGGACGCGCCAGCGCCCGTCACTCACCAAAACGTGATAGTTGCGTGCGCAAACTCAAAAGCTTTAAAATGATGTATCAGGTGCCATTGAAACCTATATTGTTTTAAATTCCAACAATATATTCAAAATTCAAATAGAAGAAATCAATCCATTTACAAAAAAAAAAAATCTAGAAGTTCAAAGTGTAAAAAAAGTTCAAAAAAACAAACATTGAATATTCGTCCATTTGAAATATTTAATCCCTATATTGTTTTGTCCTGGCAAGAATATTCAAACATGCTTTTTCATGTTACAATTTCAATGGAAAAAATTCAACCTCATTTAGAATTTAAAATCTGATGACACAGAAACATCCTAAACTCCTCGTCTGGATAGTTGCGAAGGCCGCTCCACTTGGATTACACAGCTTCTGAGGAAGGAGACATATTTATGAAACTAATTAAAAACTTTGTCTCGCTCCTGTTTCTGCACACACCGATGCCCACATCACCAAGAATGAAGGAATCGTCAGCTCACACTAAAGAAGCAAGCTTTGGCTTTATAAAAAAGTCATCGTATCCAGAATAATAATCCATTTGTGGGTAAAGTGGAAGGATGATGCTCCACTTCAATTTTATAAGTTTCAAAATGGTCACAAACTGTTACAAACAGTTACCACAACTGTACAAACTGTTACACACGGTTATACAACTGTCGATCACTCTGACAAAGGCGCACATGTAGAGCCGGTAGACGTTGCAGTGCAGGTCCGTACCATTGGTCCCTCCCTTTTTGTGTGTGTGTCACACTCAGTCATGTAAGTGATGTCTCAGCTGTACAGTGAAGTAAAGTGACGCAGTATGATGGGACAGTAAGTAAAGTGACTTTATAAAGGCGGGGGGACAGGTTAAGAAGATGTTCAAGAAGTCCAACAGCAGAGGGAAGAAACAGTTCTTGTGGCGGAGGTTCTAGTCTGATGGACCTCAGCCCTCCTGCCTGAGTGTGGTGGTGGAATAGTCCATGTGCAGGTGAGAGGGTCGGCTTGTGATACGACTAGCCCACCACGAGCCGCGACGTACAGGTCCTGCAGCGATGGAAGGCTGCGCCGATCACTTCCTCTGCAAGAGCGCACATGCTCTGTAGTCTCTGCTTGTCCTGACTGTGCTCCAGCGAACCACACGGTGAAGGAGGAGGTGAAGGATGACCTCGATGATGCCGTGTAGAACTCAACCAACATCTGTCCGGGCACGTGGCTTTCTGAGCTGCCGCAAGAAGTACATCCTCAGCTTGGCCTTCTGATGAGGGAGCTGATGGTCCTCCCACTTGAGTCCTGGTGTTGCGGTGCCCATGAAAACGGAAGGACTCACAGAGTGATGGGGAGTCCATCACGTAGGGTGGGGGCGGGGGGACAGTGCTCTTCCTGAAGTCCCCTAATCATCTCACTGTCTTTCTGGGCGATCAGCCTCCAGTTGTATAGCAAACACTGCACCAGGACACCAGCCGTCCACCTCCTCCGTATGCGGCTCATTGTTGTTGTAGATGAGTCCTATGAGGTGGTGTGTCCGCGAACTTGATCAGCTTCACATCCTGGCTGGAGTGAGTGTTGGTGTACAGGGAGAAGAGCAGGGAGAAAGAAAACTGCCCTGTGGGGCTCCTGTATGTATAATCCGAGAGTCCGAGACATTCTCCCAGACGCACTCGCTGCTTCCTGTCTCCCTCTGTGTGTCTGTGTGTGTGGTGTGTTCTCCCTCTGCCTGTGTGTTGTGTGTCTTCCCCTCTGCCTGTTTTGTGTCCCTCTGCATGCCCGTCTGTGTGTGTGTGTGTCTCCCTGTGATTGTCTGTGTGTGTCTGTGTGTCTGTGTGTGTGTGTTGTGTCTTCCCCTCTGCCTGTTTGTGTCCTTCTGCCAGCCTGTCTGTGTGTGAGTGTGGCGGTGTCTCCCTCTGTGTGTGTTGCGTGTGTCTTCCTCTGTGTGTCTGGGTGTGTCTCTTCCTGCATAGTGTCTCCTTCTTCTGTGTGTTATCCCTCTGTGTGTCTGTGTGTGGGTCTCTGCCTGCATGTATGTTCTCCCTCTGTCCGCGTGTGTGTGTCCCTCTGCCTGTTTGGTCTCCCTCTGTCTGTGTGTGTGGGTGTCTCCCTCTGCCTGTGTGTGTGTGCTCTTCTCTCTGTGTGTGTCTCCAGTCACTGGCTCCGCAGCCGTTCTGAGCGCCTTCATCGTAGGCAGACATTTTTGTGCCTGGACCAATAAAACCTTAACTAGCTGACTATATTTAGTTAGTGTTTTTAGAAGATATTTTAATTTGATTTCCCATTTATAAAGCAGAAGAGCCTCATTTTGTTGTGGCGATTAGTTTTTGTAGATACTTTTATCCCTTTTGCCCTTTGGTTATCTGTGTTTCATTCATTTTCCCCTATACAGCTTCTTCATTCTTGATTATAAATATCAATTTATACTTCTTTGATTTCATTCTATCGTACTTGATAGATCCTCTTTAATAGTACTACTGGGTGGCATTAAGTGGTTTCCGATAGATATCATATAACGGTTATTAAAAAAATATATTGTCGTGAAATCAGTTATTTGAACCAGCTGGCCATAATAAAAGGTCAAATGAACTAATACTTTCAGTTGTAGAACGTGTGGACGACTGATCAAAGGCTTTTATACCTCCTGTTTGCACTAGTTTGAAAATGTTATCTGCAATTTGTGATAATATATTTCTGCAATCTGCACCTTATGAGGAGTTTTGTGTGTGTTACTTCCTTCTCTCTCAAATAAAGCTCCACCTGCATCAGAACCGACTGACCCACAGTGGAGGTAGGTGTAAGGTGTAAAGTGTAATTCTTGGTCCTCTAACGGGAGGCGCTTCGGCAAGACACTTGACCCACTTGGCTCCAGGTTGTGTACCTGTGGACTCTGTGTAAGAGTGAGTCCCTGATGTCCAATTCATCGAGGCATTGAAAGTTAGAACAGCACTTATATAAATGAATCATTAGATGTGAGTAAGTAAGTAAGTAAGTAAAATTTTTTATTTATATAGTGCATTTAACCGACCAAGGTCACCCAAAGCGCTTAGCAAAGGGTCAGATTCAGATATGGTTCCCATTCTCTCCACACACAGTGATGACGGAAGCGAGAGCCAAACACACTGGAGCATCAAAGCCTCTAACCAACACTAACCAATCTCAATACATTCATACCTATTGTGCATGTTTATTTCGTGTAGGGGACACCGGACAGCCGGAGACCTACTCAAACACAGGATAACATCAAACTCCGCCCTGTTACGACCGGATTCGAACCCCGGACCTTCTAGCTGAGAACAAGATTGCACTAATGGTAGAATAAACGGGAAAAGCATCTGGAAAATAAACTTACACGTGTATCAATTTGTTGCAACAGCTACAAAATTGACTGAAATGATATTGTAAATCCACTATTCACTATTCGTGAACTATTCGTGCAGAATCGGATATTCTAAGGACACGATTATCCAGACTTTACTCTTTATGAACATATGGGTCTTCCTGTATCCTATGGACCAATGACTCCTATGAGCTGACAATATAGCATTCTCTGTGTTAAACTGTTGATCTTTGATCTGTTTTTGACCTCAGGTCTCTGCTCTGGCTCCTGTGGTTCAGAGAATAAGTTGAGACAGCTCGGCTTGTGAAGTCCTACTCATGGACTAACACCTAAGTCGTCATTGAACATGTTCGTACCATATGAACCAACTCGGAAATCTGTTTGATGTCTGAATGCAGGTTCGACTTGAAAAACCAATTGAACACAAGGACGCAGGTTCAACTCAGCTTTAACTTTTTATTGTCATTTGTTGCATCAGCAGTAGCAACAGCAGCAGGTCGAAAACCTTTGGAGAAAATATACATTTTTAATAAACATTTTATCTAATTACTTTTTAAAGAATGATTTAATACTTTTAAACTAAATTTGTACTATTTTTACAATGTTTTTAACTTGAATTTTATTGTACTTATCGTAATTTTAATGTTTTATTACAATAACTGCGGTCCAAATACTTTTAGAATTTAACTTAATTACTTTTAGTTTCTACAAATTTTATCAAAATATTTTAACATTGTATTTGATCATAACACTAACTTTTTAGATTGAAGATTATTTAAACAAATAAATGAATTACAAATATTTTAGACTGTACTGTTAACTAAACTTAGAGAGCCAGTCAATTAAACTGATTGTGAGACGTTAAAGATAATTTCTTGTAAATATTTATTACAATTAACTGAAAGTTACCCACAATAGATATTAGCCAAATAGAGTTGAGGTGCCTAGACTGAGAAATAAGTTAAATAATATTACCCCTCACTTGGGTGACTCAAAAGTGGTTGAATTAGCCAAAATGTTACATTCCTGATAGCAAACAAACTAAAAACGAGGCCTTTGTCTATTTTAAGCTTTTAAACAGAAATCTTCACTCACCAGTAGCATCTGTGTTCACCTTCATGCATTCAGTTTGTGTGTGTGGTTACACACCTGCACAAACTTGGCTAATTATTTGCCAGACTACTGGTCCCATTCTAACTATGCCTCCATCTACAGGCTAAACT